CGCCGCTCCAGGGTCACCCTGAGGTTGCCATGACGCACGGCCGGGCGTCGGGGCGTCGTATGCCGTGTCCGACGCTGTCCAGGCGCCGTTACGGCGTCGGAGCACGGCACTGGTGCGGCCGCGGCCACTGCGCAGCTCGCGCGGAAGCCCGTCTAGTTCCCTGCACTGGGAGCCGGGGTCGCGGCGGATGTGGCTGCCAGGATCTCCCTGCGTGGCGAAGCTGTGATAACCAGTGATGTTCGCCTTCCGGCATCTGTACTGTCTTATTTTGTGCAAAGCGACCTACGATTTTCAATGATGGCAACCGATCAGTTCAACGTACGCGAGATCGTATGCGTTACAAAAGCACGATTTTGAAGGGAACAGTCTGCTGCAACCTCAGAGTAGATTACGAAAGACTTGGGAAGTGCAGTCACCCGTCGCGCGCTGGCGAAGTTTGATCTCCAAGGTACCAGCCATAACCCTCTGGGGTGTCTGACCTGGCATGCGGACGAACCCTGGCGTTTGGTTATGCCCTCGAGTCGTCTGCCTGCATATCTGATTGACTGCGTCACGAGCTGTCGGGCGCCGTCACAGGCCGCCGTTTGACCGTGTCAGGTCACACCGGTGGCTTATCGGGGCGGCGACCGTCCCCACGCGCCGTGGCGACGCTGCATGAGCTCACCCCTGTTCGGGGGCCGCCTTCTGCTCCGGCTGTGCACGGCTGCAGGGCTGACATCTGGACGGGATCCGTCCCGGGAGCTGGCCGTCGGGTCGCACCAGCTGCTCCCCATCAGCCGAGGGCGTGGGAGCGGGACGCGGGCTGTCGCTCCGCCGTCTGCCGCCGGGCGGCTCCGAGCCGGCAGGCGGCGCGGTGTCTGGGCGCGGCTCAGTGGGCCACACAGCGCCTCCGCGCGCACAGCGCTGCCCGGCGACTCTGGGTCGGCCTTCTGCTCGCCTGTGTCCGCTGCGCGGCGTGCCCGATTGCCGCCGCTGCCGCCGCCCGGATGGTCGTGTGTTATGGGTCGGTGCCGCCCGGGCGCGCCGCTGATGGCGGTTTAATGTTGGTCAGCGTGGGCGCCGACCGCCGCCCGGCCGCCACCAGACCGAAACAACCCCCAACGGGCGTGACTCGGCCCCGACCGAGGCGGCGGCGGCGGCGGCGGTGGCGGTGGCGGTGGCGGTGGCGGGACGGACCCGGCGGCCGTCGCCGACCAACCGCCGAGATACCCTCCAGGCTTGGCCACGGCAACGGCGTTCGTTCCCGATGGCAGAGGCGGTGCTGGATTCCGCTAACGTCAAGCAGCCGGTTAGCGGAAACCACCAGCTGTTTACCGACGTTTTCGATGCGTAGCTGCAGCATGCGCGACAGCATACTCCTGCCGTGCACAAGCGGTTCCTCGACCCACCGCTGAGAAGCTGCACAAAGGCGTGGCGAAGGCGTGCGTACTTGCCATCTGGGCCACCGGTGGCCGGCGCAGCGGTCCGCTGGAGCTCGTGGGTAAATGCGGGCGGCTCAGGGCGTGGGAGGTTGCCGGCTGCGAGCGAGCGCTCACCGGGCCGCTTATTTACTCGGCAGAGACAAACAGCAGCCGCCGCGACGGGCCCGCCGCCGGCTGTCTTGCCCGGCTGGGCGGCGAGAGGCGGACGCCGCAGCCGGCTGAGGAGACACGGTGCGCTGACCGGCGGCGGAGGGGCGGCGCCGGCGGCTTTCTCCTGGTCACGGGGTTGCGCCGGCGTGACCTTGCGCGTCACGTCCGGCCGCTGGCCGGGGCACCGGACGCAGCCGGGCGGAGCCGGACGAGCTCGGTCGGCAGCGGCCGAGAGCGGGGCCGGGGCGGCAGAGTCTGTCACCGATCAATAGCCGGAGGGTGGCGGGGTCTGTCGGCGCTCACTCACAGGCGCACAGCGGTCGGACAGCGCCGCCGCCTGCTGCGATGGCCGCCGCCTGCGGTGCCGGCCGTCTGCGCGGCTGCGCGACGAGCCGCCAGCCGGCGAGGGGCCGCGGTGTCACAGGCGGCCTCGGCAGCCGCGCGCGGCGGCTCGCCACACCCGGGCGGCGTCACCTGTTGCGCCGGACTGGGCGTGCTGCTGTGCCGGCTGGGCTCAGCTGCAGGCGACGGAAACTTAACAGTCGTGAGGTCTTATCTTGTAAACAACCGACCTGGATTACAACGTGATAACTCATAATGTCCCAAAACTATGAGCTACAGGCTTTTTCGCTCACATCAAATGAGCTTGGTCGCCTGGTATGCGGTATTCCACAGCCAAGTGGTCCGCAAACGCTTGCTTACAAGTCGCTAGCTTAGGTGTGTCGTCCATGGAGGACTGCTCAGGCCAGAGCAGCGGAAACTGTCATCAAGTGATGTGCCGGCTTCCTCGGTGGCCGTTAAGCCTTGTTAGGCTTCGCTCGGGGGTCAGCGTGGTCCTCTGGTCGTTGTGGGCGATCCAAGCATGCTTGGCTTGTAATGCATGATCGCACCAGCGATCATTGCGTAGCATCGATTCCACAGAACAGATGAATCGTGATTGGTTCTTGACACGGTCAACTGTCGTGTTTACGTGGATCTGTGGTATGCTCGTCGTGGTAAGCTTTAGGACTTGATGTTCAGGGGTTGCACCTACGGCAGGCTGGCTATGCTGCCTGTGTTTCTAACCGGCAACGAAAAGAATGATGTATTGGAATCAATAGTACCTCTTTCTGAAATCGGGTGCAGGGTAAGATTAACTTAACCTGCCCCGAAACCCTGATTTCTCCCCGGATATCGGCCACTGATGTGCGTCCTTGATGTCAAAGTTAGAATTAAAAAAAAGTATTTGATCGCTTCCAACAATAGTCATGCATTTGGGTGCCAAGTGTACCAGCATTTCAGACACTTGCTACATTCCATTGGCACAGTATGCCGTTTTTGCTCATATGCATTAGGAGGGGGAGGGCTCAGAAGAGTATTGAGGGGACTCAAATCAGCATTGGGGGCCTATGCCCACCCACCCACGCACCCTCCTTCCCGAAAGTGTACAAAGTGCCCCCCCCCCCCCCGCCGACCACAATACATTTCACACAAGTGACTGATGAAATTTGTCAGTCATCCTTTTATGATCCGTTGTTCTGATCTATTAAAGCTGGCGTGTCGGAGCTTTGAGGGTGCTGTGCTTCGGAGTGGGGCCCTTGAGGCTGGGTGCCGCCATATATAATCCCTTGAGCAGCCGCGCCGACCTGCCTCGAACCCATAACATGCTCTCCCCCAATCGAATTAAGCCCCGCCATAAATTCCCTGAGAGCGGCTCCAAACTGACGTGGGCGCTCTTGAAGTGAAATCCAATTCTGTCTGTGGGCCTTTCGGCGGCCCGCTGAGATGCCCCGCGGTCTGGGGTGAGGGCGGCGCCGCTCGTACATTGTGCGCCGCCGCGGCCATGTTGACGCGAGCCCGTCTGGGTCACGGGGTCACCGGAGGAGGGCGGCCGAGCCGTGACGCGGCGCGGCTCCGCCCCCGCGGTGATGGGCATCTGTAGCTAGCGGCAGTGGCGGCCGACAGCGCGGCGTCAGAGGGTGGCGGCTTGTGACCCCGGCTGGCGGCAGCGGCGGCCGACAGCGCGGCGTCAGAGGGTGGCGGCTTGTGACCCCGGCTGGCGGCAGCGGCGGCCGACAGCGCGGCGTCAGAGGGTGGCGGCTTGTGGCCCCGGCTGGCGGCAGCGGCGGCCGACAGCGCGGCGTCAGAGGGTGGTGGCTTGTGACCCCGGCTGGCGGCAGCGGCGGCCGACAGCGCGGCGTCAGAGGGTGGCGGCTTGTGACCCCGGCTGGCGGCAGCGGCGGCCGACAGCGCGGCGTCAGAGGGTGGTGGCTTGTGACCCTGACCTCATGACCCGCGGTCGGCGGGGAGGGCAGGCTCCGTTAGTCACGGGTCTCCGGTCGGTGGCCGCACGCTGTCATCATGTGGCTCGGGCGGGCGGCTCGTTTTGTTCTTCACCCAGCTGATAATGTTCGCATTCATACGCGCAGTTTAACTGTATGTTTGGCGGCGAGGAGGTGTGACGTTTTGGTCACAACCGCTCTAAACCGCTGGGCCAGAAACTGACCTTGAATGTTAGAAACTGATCTTGGTTCACCAGTGGCGTGATTCCGTGTGATGCTGTGTGATTTCGTGTGATTCTGTTATCACATGAAACATGCGTTACTGCATGATACGTGCTTGTTACCGCTGCAAATGGTGTGTCGTGCCGCCATCATGTTCATGCAATCCGCGCTGTAAGCGTGTTGGGCCGTTAGCTGCCTCCTGTTTTCTCTCAGAGAATAATTACTTTCAATGTTGGCACACGCAGTTAAGTGATGTGTGTGGAACACGAATCCACAGATTCAGGCGTCTCTCTCTCTCTCTCTCTCTCTCTCTCTCTCTCTCTCTCTCTCTCTCTCTCTCTCTCTCTCTCTCCTCTCTCTCTCTCTCTCTCTCTCTCTCCTCTCTCTCTCCTCTCTCCTCTCATCTCCTCTCTCTCTCTCCTCTCTCTCTCTCTCTCTCTCTCTCTCTCTCTCTCCTCTCTCCTCTCTCTCTCCTCCTCCTCCTCCTCCTCCTCCTCCTCCTCCTCCTCCTCCTCCTCCTCCTCCTCCTCCTCCTCCTCCTCCTCCTCCTCCTCCTCCTCCTCCTCCTCCTCCTCCTCCTCCTCCTCCTCCTCCTCCTCCTCCTCCTCCTCCTCCTCCTCCTCCTCTCTCCTCTCTCTCTCCCTCTTTGTCGCGGGTCAGTGGATCAGCCGGGCCCTCCGTCCCTACATTTTGCCCGACTGGCTGTCCGACCGCCCAATACGACTACTGCGAGCGATTTCCGAGAAGTCACCTTGCCAGGGCAATGATTGCATGTGTGTTTTACATTGTTTCACCATGCTACGCGGTCTCGCGGTGAGAAACTCGACTGTCGCGTGGGAACAGGCGGTGCTGCTATCATCGAAAACAGGAAATATAAGCACAAAAGTAACACCGGTAAGCCTGCGACGCTGACCGCCCTAACGAATGTGTGTTGTCTCTGCCGCAGATAATCGGCCTGGTGGTGCTCGGCTGCGCCCTCTGGCTCTTCTTCGACACCTTCTACTACCTGCAGATAGCGCAGACCAACGACGAGTACTACCGCGGCACCTACCTGCTGATGGGCGTCGGCATCCTGATGACGGTGGTCGGCTTCCTCGGCTGCGTGGGCGCCTGCCGCGAGAGCCCCTGCATGCTTGGCACGGTGAGGAGACCGGCCGGCCGGTGCGCGCCGGCGGCTCTCAAAACTGGGAACTGGGAGAAACGCTGCTCAGTGGCCCCGAGTGTGCAGACTGTAAGCTATGCTGATTGTTGGGGGGGGGGGGGGGGTATTTTGGCGCGGATCGTCGTACACCCGTTTATCGAGAGCCAGCGACTGCTGCGGCGATATTAGCGCTCAGGGGCCTGGCATGATCGGGATTCGAACCCGGACCCGCCAGCCGGGATTCGAAGGTACTCACCCATAGGCGGAAGAACGTCTCAGAAAGAAATTGGAGGTGCCAAGACCAACTGAGCAGTACATGGTTTTCCTTATTCGCCATAGTGTTAATGCCTTCGCCGTAGGGTTGATAATGCTCAACATTCTGGAATAATGGAGTGCCATGGCGCCCGCGAAACCCCCACCTCATTGGCCTAACCGCTTGGCTTTTACGCTCTCAAGCTATGCTGCAGGTATGACCGCATTCTTAAGCGTTCAGCTACCGTCGTAACGAAGCGAAACACGCGGCCACATCGATCGTGGCCGGGGATCCGAAACCCAGCTGCTGAGGCGGTAGTCTTGAAGCCGCGGAGGCGCGGTCAGAAGGTGACCATTGTACAGCCAGACCACAGGTGCAGACTCCCGCTGGCAGATCTGGCTGTCGTCACTGATTGTGCTAGGCTGGGATTTGTCCGTGCCACTTGATGCTGCGCCGGTAATCAGCCACACGTCTGTCGCTTGATCACTTGCTGATATTGGTGAGGGCCCACCGTCTTTGTTCGGGTTTGAGCCGGACCGTGAAATCAAAAACGTTTGATGGACTCTGAAAGTGATGTGCTCGTCGAGGCCGGCCCCGGTGCAGCGCCGGAGGAAGCCAGTTGGACGCTATGCAACGTCACCGCGCGTGGTGGAGGCGCCCAGCTGCATCCGGCCCATATGGTGGATGGGTTCCTGTTCTCTCCGAACTGAGCATGATCCGCACCCCTCCGTGCAGTAGTTGCGGTAAACTCTGTTGGCTCACATTGGCGGAGTGCGCATCGGGCGGCGCTCCTACACACTGCTTTACCGCTCATTTATACGGTCTTAGCTCGACTGCGAATGTTTTATGTATGATCGTGCGCTGAGCTAGTCCAAACGGCAGGCTGGACATGCCATTGTACATCACACCGCGCTCCACATTGCCACTGGTGCTTTTATAGCACATAGCGACATCTCATGTCGCTAGCCTTTTGGTGGAGGCCAACGAAGCCTCCGCTTGCACTCATAAGACACGTTTTCGACACGCGCTGCTCATGCAGGTTGGCGCAGTTCTCCAACCACCCGGCATGTAAGGTGGTCTTTTCAGGACGCACTGCGGCATTATTTCAGAGCGGACGCCAACAGTATAATGCTCCATTCCCTTGACAAAAACAACTTATTTCAAGAAAGCAGGTATCGGTACGCGTGAGGTTTTAACATTCCATCAGGCTTTGACTCCACCGTGGGAGGTGGTTACGCCGAAAATTGACGCATTTTGTGCAATATTGTTAAACACGACAAAATCCCCTGCCACTTTCGGACCAAAGCATTAGAACTTGTTGACGTAGTTGACTCATATTGAGGATGCCACGCCAGTTTTACCGATGGTTCTTAAACTAAGACGGGTGCTGGGTCTGCATTTGTGCGTAGTATCGCGACTAGAACGTTTGCATAGCCATCGCATGGTATAAAGGTAACGAACCTGCAGACGCGGCGGCAAAACGGGTAGCACACGCACCATGTAGACGATCTCTACCCCTGCCGTCCAGAAACTTGTATCCGGCGATAGCGGCTTATGTTAAACGAAATGCCGGCGATGTTGGGACGTGGAGGAAAATGACAAGCGAAGGGCAATCAGGCCACAGTTGGGCTCTTGACCATCAGGCTCACGTGCGGTGAGACATGAAGAGGTCGTGCTATGTCGCCTGCGAATCGGCCACACATATGCGACACACAGCTATTTCTTGTGCCGTGGGTAGACCTCAGCGGCCCAGATACAGTGCGCCAATGACTGTTCGCCACATTATCCACTTTTGTTCACCTTTCATGGAAGAGCGCTTGCGTTACTTCGGGCGATGAGCTCAGGATCCGACCTATTCGGACATATTGGGGAACCACTCTTCCTGGCTGCACTCCAATCAGTTGTTTTAATTTCTTGCAGACGTCAATTTTTCAGTAATGGTTTTTCCAGTGTAGTTTAAAAATGTTCCACTGCCTAGTTTTAGTTATGGGCGCAAAATGACCCCCTCGTCAGTGTGCCCTCAAACTCAAATCGCCATTATTGCCGCCCGTTTGGGATGCCTCGCGTCCAGACTGCGCTCCTACACAGCACATCTCCTTCTACGAGGACAGCTACTGGCATAAGCCTCGGCGGCGACAGTGCCAGCTCTTCACGCCACATCGAATCTGTCGCAGTGCGATGTCGGCCGCGCCCCCGCTGGCGCCCCTGGCGGCCCAGCTCTGGCCGATGACGGTACGGCGCGGCGGCGGCCAGCTCCTGGCGGCGACAGAGCGGCCCGGTTGGCTGGACGCACTGCCTGATTGCGGCCGGCCCGTGCCGATGAATTAACGAGCGGGCCGGCGGCCAGCTCGTTAGCGCGCGCTGCTCGTTTGTCAGCGCTGGCGCGGCGGGATCGGTAGAGCAAGCCGGCCCGGCCCAGGCCCGACCCGGCCGCCTCCCGCGGCTGAGAGCGGCCTGCGAGGCGAGCTAGTAGACTTCGGTCGAGTCGAGTCTTCAGCGAGTCTTCGGCCGCACGTCGGGGGCGCCCTATGACGCCCTGCTTGCCGTCGGACGTCGCCGCCGAAGCTGGAGCGTCGTCAGCCGCACTCGCGCCCCAACCCGACGCATCGCTCTCACCCGCCGGTCGCCGGTCGAGCCGGCTGTGTTTAAGCCGGCCGCTGGACTGCGGCGTCACCAGGTGCGGCGCTGAAGTGCTGTCCTCTGATGACCCGGTGCTCGGGCCGCCGTCAGCGGTGCGGACACGGTTGGAGCAGCCGGTCGAGAGCTGTGGGGGAAAAGCTGCTGGATTGGACATGTTTTAACGGAGAAAGACTAAAAGTCGCGACGATTTCTCCGAGAGTTAGTTCAAAATCGCCTCATTCCCGCCGCATCGGTGTTCTCTGTGTGTTTGTGTGTGTGTGTGTGTCATTGGGGCTTTACAACGCACACAGCCGCCGAGGCCATATGGCGTCGCTTGCCTGCCAACCTGGCAGGAAGGGCGGGCACCGCGAGGAATCGAACTCCGTACCTCTGGTTTGCCAGACGCGCACATCGGTATTCTCGGCCCCGCCACCGCGACCGTACCGTCCTCGCCACCCACGGCTGCGGGAGGTGCCGTCCCCCGGCGCCGGCCGTCGCCCATCGATCTGCCGGCACGCGGCCTCAGATGGATGGCGTGCGCCACCGCCGGCGCCGCGGCGCACACGTGGCCGGCCGGCGGCCGTTCCCTGCGCGTGGCGGCGGCTGGGGCTGCTGCCGCCCTCGGAGGAGGCGCGCGGCGCTAGGCCGATCGAACGCCGCGCCGCCCTGCCCGGCGCGCATACAGAGCAGCGGCGCGCCGGCGCGACCGCGGCCTCGGGATGGCCGCTGGGACCATTGACCCGGCCGGGTCACTGCCCCCGGCCGGGTCACGGCCCCCGGCCGGGGTCAGGTTGCTGTGATTTCCCCGGGGCGCTGGCCGAGGACGGCGGACGGGGTCAACTGCTGTTGACAGTGGGGGGATGGCGTTATAGATGCGAGAGAGCCCTGGGGAGAGCAGAGAAGAAAAGCACAGCCATAGAGGATGAGTGACTCCAGGTGTTCGAAAACCCCAGAGGGAAAACGCCGAGTCGTGGCAGATGTATTAAGTAGCAGTTGTGCCAGTCAGCAAGTGTTTCGTTGTGCAATCACCGCGCTCTTCAAGCAGGATGTTGTGTGCGGATCGCACGGAGCTTGATAAATATCCTGAGCGCAGCATTGTGGCTAGAGCTCTACTTAATATGCCGCTACTGTAGCCCTCCCGTGTGACTAAGCCTAACAAATGGTCATGTTGCTTGATTGACGAGCTGCGAATCTGCCTAATCTCGGGAACCACTCGTACGTGCTTTGGAGCCGTGTTATGTGCTCTGGACCATGTTAGAGGGGCGGTTCAGTAAACAGCTAGAGCAGCTTTGTGGAACTCGCTGAGCTATGGGAAAGAATGGCCGCTGCTCCTCTGCGGTGGCGATGTGGAAATGTCCACGGTTTTCGTTGACTTGTTTGTCTCACAGGCAATATCCGCCCAGTGCTGACGCCGGCTTCTCGCGGCAGTCGTACTGTCAAGGCCAAACACAACCAAAGCATCATCACGCCAACGTATCGTTACACTTCCCTCGTTCCATTCCACGTTCCGATGGTGCCGAGGAGCTGCCTGAACCGAAGCCAGGGAGAGCCTGCGGCCCGGGCGCCGCTGGATTTGTCCGGTTTGTTTTCGACAGCGGCTAATGCATAAATGAATACGACGGGCCGCGGCGGGTGGGGCCGACCGCGCGCCCGACGAGCTGGGCCGTCAGGCCACCCGACATCGGCCCGGCTCCTGTGCTGCTCCCCGGCCCCGGAGCGGCGCCGGACCGCGTGTTTATTTGCGCCCAGCGCGCCCCCGCTGGGCCGCCGCGTGCCGGGTGCCTGGGGCCGGCGACAGCGCCGCTCGGCAGCGGGCGCCGGCCGGCCGGCCCGGGCCGCCGTTGCTCTGATTTTGCGGCCGCTGGTCTGCCGAGCACTGCGCGTCCGGGAAGGAACAATCTCTACCCAAGGGCACCTCCTATAATTAAGCGGTCCTTGGAGGGGGGGGGGGGGGGTGGAAAGGGTCCGTCATGGAATGGCGGAATGACACTGGGTGAATGTGAGTGTGAGGTTACTTTATGCCTTTATGCATTTATTATGTATTTTATGTCACGATTTATTCATCGTTCACTTCATGTCACAGCGTATTTATTGTCCAAGAGGCGACATCGGCCTCGATCTACAGGGGATATTTCGTAATTCGCCATGCTCCAAAACGTTGAAGGGTCGATGTTTAGAGATCATCGTACCTCAGAAGGCCTATTTCATAAATATGCGGCCCTTTTTCACAGCATGTGCCGTTGCCTTCCGCGAGTGAGAGTGAGGAAGTGTTGATGAAAGAGCCACAGCACTGCTGTTTCTTGTGTTATTGTTGCGTCAGCGTTATGTCACGGTCCCGTCATGACGGAGAGCGTGGGGACCCCGTCCCGTCATGACGGAGAGCGTGGGGACCCCGTCCCGTCATGACGGAGAGCTGTCGCGCCCGCGCCGGAGCCGCCCGGCCGCCGGGGTGCCGGTGACGGACGGAGCACCCCGCTTCCGGCCGCTGCCGGCGGTGACGCCGCCTGTGCCGCCCTGCCCGCAGTTCTTCACGCTGGTGCTGCTCATCTTCGTGGCCGAGGTTGCCAGCATCGTGTGGATCCACATGAACAGGGAGACGCTGCGCAACGAACTGCGCAAATCGATCGCTGCCGCCGTCCGCGAGGACTACGGGAAGGTGAGAGCCGCCTCCTCACGGACCGCCGTCAAACTGTCGGACGGACCGCCGGCCGTATCGCTGTATGGAACCACACTGACCGTGCTGTAGGCACTTCCTGCGTCGTAACATGCTCGGATGGAAGTGGAGCACGCTGCGTGGAGACTCGCTCACCTTGTTATGCACAACATACGGTTTTTCAAGTGGAGGGCTACTGCTCTTGCGATTTTTTTCGTTACCAGCATTACAGACTGGCCCGTCAGGCAGAATGCCTTTCTGTGTTTTGAATGAGAGTTCCGTCAACACGGATTCGCGCCAAAAAGTGAACAGCGCCCCAATCCCCATCGGCCTCGTCGAGCATTCGGTGTTTGTCCTGCCACGTGATGGCGGAAATGCTCACTACTGTTTCTATTTCTGTCCGCCAGGTGCTCCCACGCACAGAGGCACTGGACGTGATCCAATCGCAACTTAAGTGCTGCGGCGGCACGGGGCCGCGCGACTGGGCCAAGTCCTACTACAACAACGGCGACGGCAACAAGTCGGGTCTGGAGTTGGGCATCCAGGGCATCGCCAGCGCGGTGGGGGTGTACAAAGTGCCGGCCTCCTGCTGCAACGTCCAGCCGGACGACCCGCGCTGCGAAGCCGCCCAGCAGGTGCAGCTGGCCGGCCAGCTAACCGACGTCATCAGCCAAGAGGTGCGTGCCGGGGTGTCGGATAGGCCAGGTCATCCGCACTGGTTGACCGATGGCACTGTCTCGTGTTGTACTGAGTGGTTCGTCCATTTGTGCTATGTTGGGTTTGATGTCAACATGGACAACGTCGTAACTTTGTAACTTTGTCGTAGTAACTTTGAACGTTATTTCGTTTGGAAAAAAATTGAACCTTGCAGTAGTTCTAAGCTTGTGTTACCAAAATGCGCTGGTGTGAACAGGTAAAAAATCGGCTGCGGTCGTATGGGGCAGTGCCCGATTTCATCTGTGTTTGTTGGCGACCTGCCAACATCGTCATCGCGTCTATTGCCAGCGTGTGATTGTGTCATGCGGGGTTCCCCACCGGCAGAAGGGAAGCCAGTGATCGGGATCTGTGAGATCCGGCCGTCTCCAGTCTGATCGTGGAAGCGCCGACGCCTCATGTTTATGTGTGTGTGTTTGTGTGTGCGGCAGGGCTGCGGCGACCAGCTGCTGCAGTTCCTGCAGGACCACACCTGGGTGGTGGTGGGCATCGTGGCCAGCGTCATGGTGATCGAGGTGCTGGCACTGATGATCGCGCTCAGCCTGTGCATCACGGTGATGCGCGCGGAGCAGGAGTACAAGGCCTAGTGGACTCGCCACCACCCGAGAGAGCGAGAGAGAAAGAGGGGGAGGGGAGAGCGCATGCGTAAGGCGGACCTGTCAGTACAAGCGGCCGGCCCCGGGCGCCGGCGTCGATAGTCACTGCCGTTGGCGACGGCGGCGGCCGTCTGACGCCGCCGTGTGCCGGCCGCGGCGCCGCCTCGCTTCAGTGGTCCGCCGCGCCGCCCGGCTCAGAACGGGCGCCCGCAGCGAGTGACGGCCGGGTGCGCCGAGGACGGAGAGTGCTCGGCCCAGATCGTGTTCTGCTGCTCTCCTTGTGGCGGTGTGAGTGCGAGGGCGTGCGTCCGTGTATATCCACTAGTTTTGTATGGGCGCCGGGTGCTGCCGCCCCGCGTGACTGGGCGGCCGAGTCTCACCCAGTCTGGATCGCATACTTTGTTTTTGTTATTTTATGTTCCGCGTAGTGGAGGAAGTACTTAGGCGTGTTAACGAAATACTTAACTGAATCTCGCCAGTGCTTTGCGGGGATTGCGCTACTCTTTTCGAAAGAAGAAGTGACAAGTATACCCATATGTTTTTGTACAGGTTCCGCTCCGTTGTGGGCCCACTGTCGTGTTGGTGTCACGGGGCGCGTTCAGTGTATTCTCTGTCCGTAAGCTATGGTGCGCCGGACGTGTGGGCGACACGGCGCGGCACAGTTTTACGGCATGCCGTACAGTCTGCACAGCTCGCTTTTAGTGGTGTCACGGGCCGTTGTTTCCGCCGTCGCCGTGCGGTCTGGCTCCGCCCCGTTCTCTGCCGGCCGCCACCGACTGGCCGCCGCCGAGGCGCGCCGGTCGCTGATTGGTCGGACTGCTGCTTGTGACTGAGCTTTGCACGGAGGTCAGACGTATATTGTGTTTACGCCGACTTACCAGCTTCGGATGGCTAGCTACAGCTCGACATGGGGTCTCCCCTGTACCTCAACACGAGAGTGTCCAGCTACAGGGACATTATTCCATGCACTCTGCCTTGCTAACATCTTCCAGATCAGGTCAGGCTCTTGATGGGCCGCTTCCAGAATGCCTCAATTCAGAGCCGCATCACCGGATGACCTCTTTCGATTAATCAAACGACAGCCGAGCGCATCAGTGGATCACATGCTGCACCGTATCACCTGTGCTTTATTGACAGCCGTTACCATTGGGCACGCGAAGTTCGGTTTTCATTTTGCAGGTGAAAACACCCGTCATCTGTTACCCCAGCAGGAATGCGTTCCAGAGAAGCATGTTAGGGCTGAGTCATTTGTAGCTTACGTGGCAGGGCTGGCAACCACTCTTTTGCATGCGCTTACCAACGTAATTCCTGCATGCTGGAATGCAATTATTTCTGGACGGTAATATGCGCCAGGCTAGAGCCGCGCGACAAGGCGGAGGATAGGCGCTGGAGCTGACGGCTGAGCAGAGGTGTTTATAGTTTTGTATTTTCGCAAAGGTCTCT